GAAATTGTTACTCAATTACTTGAAATACTGTGGCATGTTCTTCAAAACTTTCTTGGAGTTTTTCCAAGGAAAGAACGCCAGGGGACTTTTCACTTATAAGCTGAGATTCTTTTCACTTATAAGCTGAGAATTTCTCATTGATATATTAAGTACCGGAAACTTCCACACTGTCTTACATATGGTCTGAACAAGTACTCAAGCCTCTGGCAAAGGCACCTTAGGCAAAGAAGTGAAATACTTGCTGTAAAAAAACTGCCAGTATGCCAGAAAATTCTACTAGGACTACAGTCAGATGACCCACGGTGATTGAAGGTGGGGAACAGGTGTTTTTCCTGTAGTGACATTTGTAATGGAAAGTTGATGGTAAAGCCAAAATGAAAGAGTTAACATCTTGATTTATGATAAAATACTCACCACACTGCAATAGTAATGGTCCTGGCCTCTACTAAATTTGTATTACATTTTCAAGTGTTTCATAGGGTAATGAAGTTCAAGACTTTGAATGATCTCCAAAACACTTTTAATGAAGACAAGACTGAGTTTAAAATCTGCAAGATTAAAGGTTCAGGGAGAGTTAGTTAATCCTTAGAATAACTATAGAACAGGTAGATACATTGTACTTTTTTTTTTTTTTTACTTTCAGAACCCCATAGCGTTAGTATTTTGTTTCTCTTTTCATTCCTTGAGAACATTTTTCATCCTGATCTGTTCTTCATAACATACATTCCTCAATAGGAAAAACTATTTCTGGATCATGGGAATAGAAGATTAATAGACCTGCACATACTCCCCATACATGCTAGTTATAATGTTAAGAACACAATGCAAACCATGAATCTTAGCCAGTAAGACTTTTTTCATATATTTGAGAATCTGTCATAATGGGATACAGTTATATTAAAGATGTTCAGTTAAAAAAATGCCGTCTAGAATCATAACAAGTCACATAATAGAGCTTTAGGTATTGACACTGAACCTCTAAACTAGTGTATAGAATATTGCACATCTTTTCTTAAGTTACCAAAAATTGCTCAGTAGAATTCTCCAAGGACTCGTTTGGTCTGATTACAAAGTTAATATTCAGAAAAGCTGATAAAGATTTTATGTCATTCACTGATATCCCTACGTGGCAGTTAGTTTTTCCCTATTGAGATGGTGCAGTGTATCCAAGGCAATGGAGAGTAGAGACATGCATTAGGGCTCATGTCCTTGGCCATTGTGTTGCTTGAGAGAAATGTAAGTATTTGTCTTTTTTGTTTAATATTGTTGAATAAGTAATATGTGTACAGTATTCAAGTCATTTGAAATCACATGAATACTGCACAGCCTGATATATTTTTAGAGTCATTCAAAATTCTTTCTTCCTCCTTTCTTCTATTTCTTATCCTCCCTCCTTTGTATGGGTGTACAAGGCTCTCAATTTTACTAACCAATTTATCTTAGTTGAGGCTGTTTTCATAATTGTATAGAAACCTTGAAGCTAGAGGTTTCCATTTTCGGAAGATAATATCCCTGGACTTCAAGGACATTCCTCAATTCTTGCTTCATCCCTGGCATTTGTGCTTCCATGAGATAAGGATCAAGCCTACTGCTTAGTGTCTCTAGTTCTTCCAGTCAGAACCAGGGAAGGAAAAAGTGATATTGATGCAGAAAGGGATCCATGGACCTACTCTGTATGTTAGAGAACCATGGTATAACAATGAAGGAAAAAGTCTATTCAATAAATTGTTGTTGTTAAGTATCATAGAATTGGTTCTGACTCATAGTGACCCTGCACAAGGTTTCCAAGGCTGCAAATCTTTACGGGAGCAGAAAGCCTCAACTTTCTCCAGCAGAACAGCTGGTAGTTTCGAACTGCTGACCTTGAGGTTAGCAGCCCGATTCATAGAACTCAAAAATATGATAATCTCAGTGAAGGAGGATGAACATAGATATTTATTTCATACCATATAAAAATCAATCCTAGATTGTTTTATTTACATTATGGAAGATATACGAACCGTAGGAATTTGTAAAATTGCTATAGTGTCTATAGATAAACAGCCTTGCTAAATTGTACAGCCTGCTGTGGATTATCTCTTTCTTTATAAAATTATTTCTGTAGCTTAAGGTTTCAGATTTTGCCATTCTACTTTTTGGTTTCTACTAGTAAATATATCTTTTTGCTTTTTGTACATATTTTGATCATTTTATGATTAGGTTTCTAAATAGAGTAAATTTGAGGTAGATTTATTCTCCTGACTAATATAGAATTTCTATTTATTTGATATTTCTTTAGGCACAGTCAGTGCTTCTAGTTATTAATACTAACTTTTCATTTCTATTTTTTAATAACAAGTGTTCTTAAGTTTAATCTGGTAAAGTGTATGGATTTTTTTTTTTTAAAACTTAATGCTGTTTGGATCTGGCTTAAGAATCTAAAATATATTGATATCTATGCTTCTTCATGTTTAACTATTTATTTTGACATTAAGTCCTCAATCAAACAAAAGTTGATTTATATAATATAGAATAAACCTCAATTTCAACCTCTTCTATAGTATCCACTATAACATCCACCCTCATTTATCGAATAGTTCAGTTCAACCACACTATCTCAATACACCAGTTCTTTTCTATACCACAGCTCCATAAGTTTAAAGACATAGATTGCATTGGTTTCTTCCCGAGTTTTTTAACCTCTTACATTGATACTTTTGCTTTTTATTGTGGCAATGCCACATGACATCAATAAATATAGCTCTACAAATCCATGTCACCCATGCACATTTAAATAAATAAATTTTAATAATTTTAGATTATTAAATACAGTGTCCAGTTCCTCTGCTTCCCTACTAGTTTTTTCTTCACACTGGATACTTCCTATAATTATATTATGTCCAAACTCTGGCGTATTTCAGATAATATCGTCAGCGTTAGGACGATGTTTCACTATGATATATCTGTAGCAGCTTACTGGATAATTTTAGGTGTTGCATTAACAAGTGCATTTCATAATACTGTATGTGTGTTAGAAAATTTTGACTAGAATATTAACTAACTGTCTGAGAGGTGTTATTGTTTAGATCAAAGCAAATGTTGATTAATCTTTCTCAGACTAAATACATTACAGATACAGAACTGACTTTGTATTAAAAACAAAAACAAAACAGAAAACAACCAATAATCAGAAATGTCTGGGACCAGCCCTGACAAACTTATTAGGGGGCTCACAAAGGGAGATGTGGAGTTAGCAAAGGAAGTCACGCGGAGTCGATGGTTTGTGCTGAATTCTGATTGAAGCTTTTTTTTTTTTTACTTAATTTTTTCAGCTCCTTATATACCGTTATAATACACCATGATCTCTTAATAATCATTTATTTTAAAGTATAATCTATGCTGCCATTACATTTACTTTAATTCATAAATCTTTTATTTACACCAAAGAGCATTAAAATACATCTTGCTTCCTTGTCCTCCTTAGTGACTTTTGTTCTTCTCTAGTTTTTCTTAAAATGTCAGGTTAACCTTAAAACATGATTCCAAATCTTAACTCCTATTTCTACCTTCACCTATTATTTTCTATAGATTCATTAATCACAACATGTACCTAAACATTATTTGCTATGGTAACTGACAACACAGTTGTTTCTCATGATTGATTAAACAAGAAAAACAGAAGCATAAAAAGGCACTTAAAGTTTTGTAGTTAAGAAGAAATGCAACAACTTCTTTATACTAACAACTTCTCTATAGAAAACACCTAGTTAAATTTCTACCTATGATCTATTACTATTCCCTCAGCCCTTGATTGCATCTTAGCTAAATTTTTAGAGGTCTTAATGTCCCTGACCGAAACTACATAGAAAGTTGAATGCAATCTTAAACTTGAACTAGCAATGCTGTAGCTGATGTGTTTTCTCCTATTGGTGAAACTTATTGTTAGTGTAAAAACAAATAGTTACACATGATTGAATGTAGTGTAATGGTGCCTAAAAACAAGTTTCAAATCTCAAATATAATTCGTACTAAGATTCTACTGAAAACTTTTATTATAAAATCAAGAAAATTAAAAGTAAGCTGATTAAAACAAAAAGACAGAAACTGCAGAGCCCCCACATGAGATTTCTCCTCGGGGCCTTGTCTTCCAATGGGAGACTCATTGTGGCCTTGCTTAACAATGACCCCTTCATGCTAGGGTCCTCCGCTGTTCTGCCCTTTGGTGACATGGCTTCTGCCACAGAAAGGTTGTATTTAAGTGCTGAAATTTTGGATACATATCTCTAGAAGAAAAGAAAAAATACATTAGAGTAGGCATGCTGTGGACTCCCATAAACTAGCAAAATTCGTACTTATCATCATAGAAAACAAAAACAAAACAATGAAACCGGATGGCACTGTAGGTTAAATCCACCAACTTCTCTGTGGTAGAAAAATGTTGGCTTAGATCCACGGGAGAAAAATTAGTCTGTCTGTTTCTGTAGAGATTTACAATCTTGTAAAGCCAACAAAGAATTACACTGACTCAGAACTGACTTGACAGTGGGTTTGGCTTTTTTTCAGGGGTTAGTCCTGATGGGGTATCCTGGTGTTACACTGCAGGATAAGTTGTTGTTGTTGTTATGTGCCGTCGAGTCGGTTCTGACTCATAGTGACCCTGTACAGGGTTTCCGAGGCTGTAAATCTTTACAGGAGCAGAAAGCCTCATCTTTCTCCCGCGGAACAGCTGGTAGTTTCGAACTACTGACCTTGCGGTTCACAGCCTGATTCATAACCACTACACTAAGTAGCATATGTGCTCAACCATTAAGTCAGTTTAAACTTCAAGGTCAGTGGCTCAAACTCACTAGCCACTCCTTGAAGCAATGATGCATATAGGCTTTATTTGAAATATTTCACCTAAAACTTGATTTATCTCACACATGATGTCTTTTATTCTAAAATATTACCAAGTGATATCTTCTGAAGCCTAATGATCAGTCTGATGGTTCTCTTCACAGTCCATTTCCTTAATAACCTCGATGGATAAACAAAACCGAACAGCAGTCAAGGAATTCATTCTGATGGGGATCACAGACCGCCCTGAGCTCCAGGCTCCCTTTTTCGGGCTGTTTCTCATCATCTACATGATCTCAGTTATAGGCAATGTGGGCATGATCATCCTCACCAAAATAGACTCCAGGTTACAAACACCCATGTATTTTTTTCTCAGACACTTGGCATTTATTGATCTTGGTTATTCAACTGCTGTGGGACCCAAAATGTTGGTCAATTTTGTAGTGAACCAAAATACAATCCCTTATAATTGGTGTGCTGTACAGCTTGCTTTATTCATAATGTTTATCATAAGTGAACTTTATGTTTTGTCAGCAATGGCTTATGACCGCTATGTGGCCATCTGCAACCCTCTGCTGTATACGGTCATCATGTCTCAAAGAGTATGTTGGGGCCTGGTGATTGTTCCCTATCTCTACAGTGCCTTTCTCTCTCTCCTGACCACCATCAAGATTTTTATTTCCACCTTCTGTGGTTATAATGTCATTAGTCATTTCTACTGTGACAGTCTTCCCTTAATGACACTGCTGTGTTCAAGCACACGTGATGTTGAACTGATAGTTCTGATCTTCTCAGCATTCAATTTAGTTTCCTCCCTCCTAATAGTGCTTGTGTCCTACATGCTGATCCTTGCAGCGATCCTCAGGATGAAATCTGCAGAGGGCAGGTACAAGGCCTTCTCCACGTGTGGATCCCACCTGATAGTAGTAACTGTGTTATATGGAAATCTATTCTTCATGTATGTCCAGCCCAAATCCAGCCATTCCTTTGATAGTGATAAGATGGCCTCTGTATTTTACACGGTGGTAATACCTATGCTGAATCCCATCATTTACAGCTTGAGGAACAGAGAGGTAAAGGGTGCCTTGCATAGAATATGGAAAAATCTGTGCAGAATTCCTATTTAAATGCAACATAGAATGAATGTTCAGTAAATTAACTTACAGATCATTATTCATTTTAGAAAAGAATAATGTATAAAAGGCATGGGAAACTAGAAAAATTGTCTTTGTTTTCAGTGAAAATCTGCAAGTGATTTATGTTTAAGTACTCTTTATCCTTGTGGTGTCAACTTTGATTTGATTTCAAGTTTGGCACAAGTGCCTGGAGTCCAGAGCACTGCTCTTGCATTGCCAAATATGCTACCATCAAAAGAGAAGCCTTTTTGTATGCATCTCCTACTAAACATTCTTTGTCAAAAGTCATTCTTTGGCCTCTTTCCTGCTCAGCGCCACCATGGCTCATAGTCCCAAGAAACATCTTAAGCTTGTGGCTGCCCCAAAGCATTGGATGCTGGACAAACTGACTGGTGTGTTTGCTTCACACCCATCCACTGACCCCCACAAACTGAGAAAATGCCTCCCACTGATCATTTTCTTAAGGAACAGACTTAAGTATGCCCTGACAGGAGCTGAAGTTAAAAAGATCTGTATGCAGTAGTTCGTTAAGATTAATGGCAAAGTCTGAACTGATATAACATATCCTGCTGGTTTTATGGATGTCATCAGCATTGACAAAACCGAAGAAAATTCCTGTCTGGTCTATGACACCAAGGGTTGATTTGCTGTTCATCGTATTACACCTGAGGAGGCGAAGTACAAGTTGTGCAAAGTAAGAAAGATCTTTATGGGCACAAAAGGAATCTCCCATCTGGTGACCCATGATGCTTGTACCATACGCTACCCTGATCCCCTCATCAAGGTGAATGATACCATTCAGATTAATTTGGAGACTGGAAATATTACTGATTTCATCAAGTTTGACACTGGTAACCTGTGTATGGTGACTGGAGGTGCCAACTTGGGAAGAATTGGTGTGATCACTAACAAAAGGAGACATCCTGGCTCTTTTGATGTGGTTCATGTGAAACATGCCAATGGCAACAGCTTTGCCACCTGACTTTGCAACATTGTCGTTATTGGCAAAGGCAATAAATGATGGATTTCTCTCCCCTGAGGAAAAGGTATCTGCCTTACCATTGCTGAAGAGAGAGATAAGAGACTTGCTGCCAAGCAGAGCAGTGGGTGAAATGTTCTCTAGGTGATATGAATGAACAATCTTTACATAATTAAAGATATTAAACACACACAAAATAAGTCATTCTTTGGTCTTTATAAAAATACATTTTCTCTGCGTCCTACACACCATTTAAACCACAGTGCTTAATATATTGGCATTCTGGAATACAGAATATGACAAGTACATTTTTTGTGCCTCTTATATTTTGGAGTCCTGGTGTGGTGCTATGTGATAAAGCACTGGACCAAAAGGTCAGTTTAAACTACAAGGTCTGCAGTTCAAACTCACCAGTCATTCCTTGGACACCCTATATAGGGTCGCTATGAGTTGGAATTGAATTGACAGCACTAAACAACAACAACAATGAATAATGCATAAAAAATTATTTCTTTACAGCATGTCAGCTTTATCTCCCTTAGAGTAGATAAGCTAAAATTTCTATTGAAATGAAAGTTATATGCTTGATGAAGCATAATAGAAGTAACATAATTGCTTACATAAAAATCTAAAATAATATATCAGCTGCAGCTCAAGAAAAATTTAATTTTTCAAGGTTGATGGATATGAGATGTTGTTGTTGTTAGGTGTCATTGAGTAGCTACTGACTCATAGTGACCCTATACACAACAGAGCAAAACACTGCCTGGTCCTGGGCCTACTTAACAATGGTTGCCATGCTTGAGCTCATTGATGTTGCCACTTTGCCAATCCATCTCATTCGGGGTCTTCCTTGTTTACTGTGACCCTCCACCTTACCAAACATAATATCATTCTACAGTGGCTGGTTCCTCCTGACAATATGTCAGAAGCATGAGAGATTAAGTTTGGTCATCCTGGCCTCCAAGGAGCATTCTGGATGCACTTCTTCCACCACAGATCTGTTTGTTCTTTTGGTAGCCCATGGCACTTTCAGTACTAACCTCCAACACCATAACTCAAGTGCACATAAAATTCAATTATTTTGTTATTTATTAGTAGCAAAAACTGATGTGTAAAATTATCATTTACAATAGCACAAAACTACAAAGTACTTAGGAAAATATCTAATGAAACATTTGCAAGACTGCAATACTAAAAACTATAAAACATCACTGAGCTATTAAAGGAGATACAAATACAGTGATATGTATGCCATGTACAGGAGTGGGTTGGAAGAAATAATGTGAAGATGTCAATTCTTAATTGCCTTATAAATTTAATTCAATAAAATTATGAATTACAATATATGTATATATTGTTGTTGTTATTAAGTTCCATCGAGTCGATTCTGACCCATAGCTAACCTGTATAGGGTTTCCGAGGAGCAGATGGTAATCTTGAACCTCTGACCTTGCGTTTCAAACTGACTTTGCAGCCCAGTACATTAACCCATAGCACCACACCAGGACTCTCTCTCTCTGTATATATTGTTGTTGTTGTTGTTAAGTGCCGTCGAGTCGGTTCC